GGTTGTTAAGTACTTGTCTCCGTACCTCAAACAAGGCTCTATTACCTCCAAGGTAAGTTCCAGCATTACTCCTGAATGTATTTAGTGGAACCGCGAGGGAACTGGGATCAAGACAGAAAAGCCAATTCTCTCTCAAAGCCACCGACGTGAGTTTTTTTTTCTTTGCCACGCCGAAAAATGGAAAGCACTTAGTTTGTTATTTTTATAAAACCTTTTCAGCGTTCTTGATATTTAAAATGACTTCTAAGTTATCGATAGAGAATATTTCTTAACCTACTAGTTCTCCTTAATGGATTCACTGTAACCTGCAAACTATTGGTTCGTTACTATTTCTTCAAATCATCCAACAATCAGCTTGTCTCGAAATTTCAATACGATCTTAAACTTTGCCGGGTATTTTTTTTTAGTTATTTTAAACCTGTCCTTCGCTCCAATGACTGACTTAAACTGTATATACCATCTTTTGACTTTTCTGCCTACCCCACACTGTTGAATAGCAACTGCTAGAGAGCAATCTTACAGAAGGCTTTTCATGTTTAGAGCAGCACTATTGGCTGTAGTTTCCAACACATTAATGTTTTCACTATTGTATCTTACGATTTAAATTATAACAGGCCTTGTTTAAGTTTTTGGCTCGCTGCATCACTCACAGACTCATGGGATCTGGCAAAGCGTCTTCTTCTTCAAGTAAGTTCCTACCGATATGCTCACTGTCGGCATTTTCTGCATAGTGTCAATTAGCAGGTACTTCCTTATTTCAACTCTTCCCTCGAAGCCTTGAATGGTTCCCTGGGGTTAGGAGTTTCTCTTTAAATGACAGTTTTCTTGTGTAGCAAAGCACCAAAGAGGTGTGAAGAAAATGTTGTAGAATGCATAAGATTGACACAGATTGCACACGACGACTTGAAAATACAATTTTTTTTTTACAATTTTTGAAAATACAAATCGAACCTTTTTCAGTTTCCCTTGAAGGTTCAAGTTATCAGGAGTCGACTGTATGTCTTACTTGAAGAATGACACCTCACAGCGTTACTTAGTCGTGCTGCATTTAATACTTTACGTGCTTCTCTCTTAAAAGGAAAACAAGAAGTTAAGACGACAGTAAAGAAGTTGTTTGAGGTTTGCAAGAAATTTGAAAAGGAAAGTGACTGGGAGAAATACGTCCGAGCTGAAGAATCTGGCAAGGCATAATGATTAGGAAATTAATTTGAAGAATCTTCATTCATCAGATATTTCTTCTGTCGAAGGAATGTGAAAATATTTTTGTTATTGCAATGGTTGTGTTAAACACTGAATATGACAATTTAAGTCAAACTCATTATTTATATGAAAATTATAAGTAAAATTATTGAATTATAAGAATTGATAAAGTGGAGATTGACATACTGATCGAGTGTAGTGAGTGTGTTCCGTTTCACTTTTTATGGAAGGTCAAAGTGACGATGTCAAATACCCGGAAAAAAAACTCCAATCTCCGCCTTTTGCTTCTTCCCACGAAATACTAGAAAAAAGTAAAATGAACGTATGAGCGATTTCGGAAAAGTCGTTTATACGACTCACCGAAAAAAGACGGAGCGTAATCTTCCCATCTGGTAAAGTGGCGCCCATGTAGGCTTTCAAAATTGCTAAATAGATATAATCACCTGGAGACCCAAAACGGGACAAAAATAATTATATGCGAGCACTTCACTGGCGATGGAGCGCAAATTATTGGTTCATAGAATACATTCAGATTTCGGGGTGTCTACCTGAGTGCGTAACATGAGAAAGAGCCCCAAGACTGAGTAACCTCTCTTTATAAAACTGTTGCCGTCAAGCGTTTTTTCGCCGAGCTGATTTACTTAAATTCCGTCTAATATACATCCTGCAGGTCCTCAAATTGGCTTTACCGCAAAAATTTCTCGAAAAACGTGATATGTTTGGATTTCTGGAGCCGGCGGGGATGAAGCAATGGTGAGAGAGCTCGCCTTCCGCCACTTTGAATAAAGGGGGTAAGTTTCTTGAGAAACTGTGGTTCTGCATCGGTGGGAGAAAATATCAAGGTAATTTAGCATTACTAACTGAGTTGATAACGTAAATTGGCCATCGTAAGGAGTTTAAAAGCCGACGTTTCGAACGTTAGCCCTTCGTCAGAGCGATTGAGAAAGGGTTAACGCTCGAGACGTCAGCTTTTAAATTCTTTACGGTGGCCAATTTACGTTATCAACTCAGTTGATAATACTAAATTACTTCCGTTACTTTGGCTGGACATGGCGTCACATGTGGGTTTTGTTTGTTATTGTTTCTCTTCCTTGCTCTAAGGGTTTTTCTCCGGGTCCTCCAGTTTTCATCCGTCCACAAAAACCAACATTTTAAGTTCCAGTTCAGTCTGGAAACAGTGAACAAGAAGAGCCACCTGGTGAAGTGTTCATTACCAAATTGCCATTTCTTTTATTTATTTTTATTACTTCCTTATTCCTTAGCATGATCGTTCAACTTAATTACCAATGCTTATATTGTTTTCAGTAGTAGTGCTTTTCCTCCTCTTCCCCACCCCCAAGGTTCATGATCGTCTCGCCCGCTGTTTCTTGCGTAAGTCGTGGATTAAGAGCTTGTAAGGTTTTAAAAAGTTAAACTTAGAATTCAAAGCGAACTTCGGTGAAAATTCAAAGTTTTATTTCTTTAATCGAATTATTACTTTTTTTATTTACCTCACAAGGTAATACCCTATTTGGGTAAAGAAGCGGACACACTAAATACGGAAAGCTGACAGATGAATTAAGCTCCGAGCTATTTTTTTTTCCCGTGAAGGGGTCGTAGTTCACGTAACCCGTCCGGCCCTACACACGTCAGCTTTCACTGTGATTTTCGATGGGATTGCGCGAGCGGGGCGGGACGCGTCATCTGATATAATAAAACCGTAGTACCCTGTCACAATCATTTCATGTGAATCGACTTCCGGGCGAATCAACTTCCGAGCGATAAGATCCGTTGCTATGACCTGATGAGAGTTTTAACCAAGGCCTTCAGAAGACTAGCGCGCTGACCATGAAAACCGCCGCTTCCTATGCAGTACGCAAAAAGCATGCAGTTAAGCGTGAGCGCGAGCGTTTCCTCCTGTAAAAGCGCGCGCTATGACAACAAAGAAAATAAATCCGTTGTTACGTTAGTTGTTGAAAAGTTAGCGTACGCAAAGGAGACAACTTTCTATCAGCAGCCTTTAAGCTGCCAGTTTTTTGCAGAAAAATCGTTTTGAATAATTGCAAGTTTCCATAACGAAAAATGGCTTCAACTTCGATTAAAAGCAGAATGGAATCTTCGCGGAATCTTTCTTATAAAGACAAAAGTTTTGTTGGCAAATGTGAAAGAGAATTCCGCGAACTCAAGCAGCGTTCAGACAAGTACTTTGACGACTTGGAAAAAGTCGAGGAGATGTGCCAGCGGGCGAAACAAGAAGTTGAAAGAATTCAACTGAAAGCTCAAGCCAAAAGAGAGCTAATAAAAAGAGATGCCGTCTTCCGAGCCAACTTGTATTTTGCCGTCCAAGAAATGACGGGTAAACGAAAGAGAGTGGAAGTCAGAGAAGAGAAAAGTGCGGCAGACGAGAAGATGCCTGAACCGCCGGCTAGAAACGCTGAGCGGAACACATTAACTGGTCGCGTTTGTCGCCATTTGAAGATTGGCTGTTTCCTGGTTTTTAATGCAGTAGCTGCATATGTACTGTTTAAGTTAACACAATCATACTTCTAGTCTTAGTTCAGGGTTGGGGGGGGGGAAGGTACTGAATTGAAGAAAAGAAAGCAAGAACGAACAATTGGGATTTTATGTTCTTCTTACTCGGGAAAATGTTTTTTATGACTCCTAAACTCCAAGATCTTTACACGAAGAAGGAAAACGACAGAAGGGAGTTGAGGATAACAGCAGAACTTTATGAACTTTTCACAAAAACATTTTAAACTGTTGATCTTAGTTTACAGATATGAGTGAAGGTTTATGTTATGTTAACCATATATTATATTGAAATCGTCTTTTGCAGAGTTTACGAATCGATCAGGTTGTACCAAGAAGTACACAATTTTTTTCCCTATCAAACGATGGAATTTTTTTTTGTTTTTGCTTTTCCTTGCGCAATGTTTATCCAGGCTTAAATGTGCGTTAAGTATGCGTTCAGCAAGTCCTTGCCTTTCTCCATGACGAGAGTACGTAATCAGTTGGTGGTGAGCTAAAGAAACTCGGGTTTAATCCGGCGGGATCGGGATCGGGATAAAAATGTTCATTGCAGTGGAATGGCGGGATGAAGAATAGCTGCGGGATGCGGGATTGAAGTCTATTTTGGACCCTCAAGTCGGCTTTGATGAAAAGAATGCTTGCATGTCTCGTAAATTTGCGACAAAATTTAGCAGGTATATAGCCTGAGTACTAACAACGGACATCACGAATGTAAGTATAATTATTTAGCAGGCCCGGAATAATTATGCTTCCCTATGTCAGGGTCGTAACGAGGTATATGGGATCAGGGATCAAAGGCCTAAAAAAGGGTGGGATCAGGGATCACAGCCTCGGATCCGGGATCAAAGCCCTCGGGATCGGGATCAGCGTGTTTTCCATGGGCTTAAGGATCAGGCGTCTAGATTTTGTGGGATCAGGGATCAAAATTTTCATCACGTTTGGGATCAGGGATTAAAAATTTGCGTAAAAATACGGGATCAGCGCCGAAAAAATATATCTCGTTACGACCCTGCTATGTTTTGTATTGCGATCAGCACACTTCTCTTCAGCCTACAGATTCTCAGTTACGGTACATGTACAAATTTACCTATCATCTACTTCCTTCGTCTTCTAATGGTTTGCATAACTTATTAGATCTAAGGCTTTTTCATCATGATCTTTGTCATCTTAGTGACGTTAACACGAACCAGTTAAAGATCATAACTTAAAGCAACACAAACGAGTCCCCCCCCACCCCCGAGATACGAAGAAAGTACGCATAGACCGCTGACATATGTAGAGCGCATATTCCCAAACATGGCTGCTGACTTTAGGTTGTAAGGAGCCCTCTCAAATCTTATGTTTTTCCGTTTCCACGATGGCAAAGTGAAGTCTTCCGTTTTTCATCCAAGAAGTTTATCCTTGAACATTTGAAAGTTTAAAAAAATAGCTGTTCGTCGTGGTGTTTTGAGAAGTTTTTCTTTTCACGTGTCATTCGACGTACGTCACGCTCACTAATGAATGGTTCGTCTTACATTATCCACTGGCAAAAAAATAAGAACTTCTACTTTGTGTTGGGTTGAATCATTTATGGTGCGATTGGCTTGCCATGGGATCAGAATGTAGTGTTGAAAAGGATTACGAGCTGGATGAACCTGTCGAATGTAATAGCAAAGAATGGAGTATTTACACAGCGAGAAGGATTCAAGATGGCCTCAAAGTTACTGTTTTTGTCCATGAGAAGAAAGGGAAGGAAAAGAATAGGGATTATGAAAGGATTTCTAAAGCTGCACAGGTAAGGCAGATTATACTGGGTAATGAGTCACGTCATGTCACGTCAGCCTTAGAGGTTTTGCCTGAAAAAACAACGTTCGTTAATGATGTACGTCCACTGAAAGTCTGATCATCCTTGTGAGGGTAACTCTGAAAGCAACTGTTGTTAATTTTCGTGATTGAAATTTGCAAAACCTTATAAGTCGTCATCAAAATCAAGTCAGGTTACAGTCAGGCAATTGACTTTGATGATATGTTCCTTTGATGTTGTGGGCAGAAACATCAGTATCTTACATAGTATACTGACAACAGTCTATTTCAGGACTTCCCTCACCCATGCTGGATGATCAACTACATGATGCACTGTCATTCCCTGCTTCAAACAATTTATTGTTACAAAAAAATCAGTCATTGTGCAATGTAGTTGTACAGGAAATGCCAACTAATCTAACCTGTAAAAAGAAATATCTTATGCCCAGAGCCAAAAAGGAATTTTAACCCAATGGGCAGTAATGTTGCAATCTGATTAGTGAGTTTGCTGTTGTCAATAAGACTACAGACAGTACTGCTGGCACAAACCTGTCATGCAATGCCTTTCACCCTTTTACTCCCAGATCAAATTTGTAATTCTCCTTACTCTCAACCATACCATTCTCATAATATAAGTTCAGAGAATTTAGTATTGAATCAACTAATTATCCCCAGATTGATATTTTTCTTTATTCTCATCACTTATTTGGTTGATACAGTATTGATATAGTAAGGAGAGATTCTGTCTTGGTCACTCATGGGAGTTAAAGGGTTAACAACTCTCAAACATGAATGACTGTTTATCTGACATAGATATTGTAGTAAAAAACAAATAGACAGTGGTTTAGAGTGGTGTTTACTCTTATTGACAATGATATTTCTTACACTGTGGTCAAAATTTTTGTTGAGCACTGAATCAGCTGCATCTTGCGATTCCACAACATTTTGACTACTGTGATGAATATCCATGTCAACAAGAGTACAGATGATGTTAAACCACTGTCAATGGGTCAATTTTGTAATGATATCAAGGAGTTTCATTAAGACAAGGTTACCAGTGGTCTACCTTAGCACCATCTGTTTTGCTGGAGAGCAGGCTCTTGTGATTGGTATTAGCTTACTATGCCATTTCCTGGCATGGGTACTTACCATGCCATCCACAGCTGCTTATGAGTTATTAAAACCCCTGATATCATTACTAATTCATGATAAATGATTAAAAATGATTAAGGATAAATCATTACATAGTTTTTTTCTTATCATCACAATACAATAGTTTCACTGGCGAAAGAGGAAAGAGATAATCATTTTTACATGCATGACTTAATGTCTCTTTTTCAGTGTCTCAAAACTCTTAAACATCCAGCCATTCTTAAACACCATTGGTCCTATGATAACTCAGAAGAGTTTTGTATGGTGACAGAACCAGTCAGGCCTTTAGAATCTGTTATAAAGAGTTTAGACACAATGGAGATAATTGCTGGACTCTATAATGTTGTTGAAGCTCTCGTATTTTTGCATGAGAGGGTAAGTCCAAGAGTTATTTCATGCTTTTGCCAGTGAGTGATCTGTTTTAAGTTCTTATTTTTAGTACCTGTGTTGAGATTGTTTTAGTATTATTTGATTGATGTTAATCCTTAGTTCAAACATTGGCAGTAGTTGAAATGTCACTTTCCTCTTTTTCAAACTGATTGTTATATCTTGCCATTTCCAAGGACTAAGAAAACTGTTATAACCAGTTGCAACTTAACATAACTGCTGAACTAATATATTCACTTGGCAAACTCTATATATACTGAAGTCACTCTAAAGTCACACACTTAATTAGCACAAAAAAAAACCTAAGAATGAAACTGCACCCTAACACATAAACTGTTCTGCTAGCAAAATAAACCTTCCTTTCATGATGCTAACTAATTTTATGGGTGGCAGAACATCACAATACAAATATCAGTGCCCTCGGCTGAAAACTTCTGGTCAAAAAGGTTTGTCAGAAAAAGATCTAATCTTGAGGCACTGCCCTTTCTCCCTGGTACATGTAGCTTAGGTTAGTAAGAAGTTAGCCCACAAGTACTACTACTAAAATTAGGCAAGGATTCCTCAGAAACTTTTCAACATGTGTAACTTGCTTGCTCAAGCGGAAAATAATTATTTAGGACCTACCCTTTTACAAATGTTTATAAAAGTGGGTGTTTCAATAAGTGTGTGGCAGGTTGGCTCTCCATGTCTTCAACAGACATTTTGTAATTAAAATAAGATGCTATTGTGTATAATTCAGAGGGCAACTTTGCCCGGTATGAACTGGACAATTGTGTAAGGTAAGGTCTCACAAGCTCACCCTGTCAAAGCTCATTCCAGTTTTGTCAACAAGAAGCAACCATGAGTATCGCTCCTTAGGCAGTGAGAGCATTGTTAGTATTAAGGGTTTAGCCTCACAATATAACTCTGTGCAGATGCATATCCTATGATGGTTTGTAACATTCTATTCTTGAAATTTTAAGGGTGGTCTGTCACACAACAATGTCTGCATGTCGTCTGTGTACGTAAGTGATAATGACTGGGGATGGAGACTTGGTGGAATGGAACATGTCTGCAGATTTTCTGAATTGACAAATGAGGTAAAATTATGTGAAATTTTTTTTGTAACATTATGTCTGTAGATTAATTTACATCTCATGAGAGAGAGATGGCATTTCTTCTTTCTAGAAAAGTTTAAAAGATGTATAATTACACTTCTAGCAGTTACATGTATGTGAAATTGTAAATTATGGCAATGTAGTACTGTCTAAAATTTTCCTACGTCAAAATTGAATTTACTTTTATTAATAATGGAGGATTAATTTTGCATAAATTAATTAAGAAAGTGCTGTAGTAGTTCTAAAGACATTTTGGGTAACAGCTAGGATAAATTGACCAACCACAAAAGACATTCAGGGCAACAGGTAGGATAAATTGACATGATCAAAAGTGTTAAATTAAGATCCTATCTACATAAGTTAAGAACTAAATGTGTACTAGAATATATAGCTTTGTTTTTAGTTTACCCCTCTAACTTAATTGGTTTGTAATTCATTCTCCAACCTGTGTATAGGTATTTAACATATCGTGAATAATTTTATTGCAAAATTGATGTAGTGTGTTTCTTGTCTCTCAAGTTTTTGTCAGGAACAAGAGCACAAAGGGACACCAAGTCTATTTCTCCAGAAGAAAAGGTTATTCCTGCTTCAAGTAACTTGTATTTTACCAATAGGGTGTTGTCTCTTGAAACTATGACTGTACACTGCCTAGCATTAGAAGCTAGGAATTATTCCTGTATTAGTAAGGCCAGCAATACTGCAATGGCTGTCCATAACTGTTAAGTAAATAGCTTACTTTTTTTGGCAATGAAGACCTAAGTCACCTCAGTGCCCTAACCATTAACCCTTTACACCCTAACATCAGGACGCATATTCTCCATTCTGTTTTCTATACATTTCCTAAGGGGCTAACAAGAAGAATTTTTTCAACAATCAAGAGCTTCTGTAGTTGGTGATCATTTCCTTTATTCTTGCAACCTTAATATTTGATTCAGGGGTGTTATGGTATGGAGAAATTAGATGCCAGTCACTCTTAGGGGTTAAAGGGTTAAAATCCCAAGATCTGATTGTTGATTCTCCCTTCTAGCTAGGATACATGTACATTTCCTTGTAAATTAGTTAACAAATTTTGTGTTAGATCAAGATAAAAACCTTTACCTGATATGTTTGAGTATTCTCATCACCTGTTTGCTGGATGATGTATGGATATTATAGGGAGAAGTTACCTGTTAATCACTTCTGGGAGTTTAAGGGTTATTTTAATGTCAACAACATCACTGATCAATTAGCGATCACCGCCATAACCCCTAAACTTTCTTTACTAGTATCTCTACTAAAACTTCTTGATTTGCTGTCTCTCTTGTCAGGATGGTCGAGTAAATGTCAGTCTTAAGACAGGTCATGCCCTTGATGCTTATGGCTTTGGTATGTTTGTCAGTGACATCTTGGACACTCGTACAGATTTAGGTAACTATTTATGTTTCCTTCGAATTGACAATATTGAAAAATTGCAATTTTATAAAGTTGAACTAAGGAGAAGAAAATGTTTATTCCATTAGTCCATAACTATGATCTGATCTATTCACATGGAATGCTGAAGTCAGTTAATTAACACCTGTGATACATGTATCGTGTGAACCTTTATTCCACTCTAAGTCCTGAAAATATTGAATCAGTTTTTTTATACAAATTTTGATTCCCAGGTCTTTTTTTTTTTCAACAAATTCAGGCCATGAAAAGTTGCCAATGGTTTTTTTAACCAACTGCAGCACTAGCATAAGTTTGTTCATTCAACATGTGATTTCCGTCTAACCTCAAAACAGACCATTCCTTTTCACATTTATTTGTCTTTGCACTCAATGAATATCTTTAATTTATCTCCTCCAAGGAGATGCAGGTGAAAATTTTGGAGAAAAGATGCAGAGTTTATTTCTTCATGAGAACCCTCAGGTATATATATATATATATTTTTAATGCTCTGGATACATTTTATTGTTGGTTTTAATTAGCAGGTTTCCATTCATTTTAATTTTATGGATTTAAACAATACTTCATCAACATCGTGTAGGAATTTAATGAAACTGCTACATTGAGTGGCTCTTCTACTTTTAAATTCATAATTTTTTTTCTTTTTCCTGGTGTTGACAAAATTGTTACTAACTTCTTGAGGGGAAATAGGTAAATCTGTTTTTTATGTTGAGTGGAGAATTGACAACCACCTACGAATGGGAGACATACTAACTACTTTTTCTGCTTATTGCAGCATTTATGTAGTTTTACACGCCATACACAAGTTGAGTCATCTCCATCTCAATCACAGTTTCCTCCAAGCAGTTACATATTTTATGTGTTTATGTATGCAGTTTGTGTATTAATGTTCACTTGCATTCTTGATATATGTTCCAGATGCGGCCTCAGTTTTCCAGTCTTCTTGGTGATGAATTCTTCAGGTTGGTCAAAGCTAATCTTATTCTATCTGAAATTTTGGTTAGGAACTTCATAGCAAAGGAATAAAAAGGTTCATACATTCCCTGATAGATGGCAGAGGTGGAGAAAACGTTCTCAATTTTATAAAAAATGACCAAGAGTTCTTAGTCAATGTCTTAGGAAAGTAACAAGACTTTGAGAAAGTTTTTCAAAATGTTGATGCCTCAAATTAAACTAAAAATTTACACCACACCATTTTTTAAAATGATTTTCAGTGAAGGCAATAATGATCTTCACCTTTTCTATCTTAAAAAGACTTTGATGAATTTTATTTAATTTTAGTCCCCGACCACTGCCTACCTTAGAGAAATGTATATCCCTTCAACATGAAAATCATTTTAAATTGCATAATTTGTAATTTGTGAGATTTTAATTATAGGGCATTTTTAATATTATTAGGAGCGGCTTTCTGGAGATAATGACATTTCTTAACCAAATAACCATTAAAACTGATGTTGAGAAAGAAAAATTCTTCAGGTATGGAAGTTACCTATAAGTTTCATTACGGGAGGTAAAGTTTAACCCTTAAAACCCATGGGGTGACCTGTTTCCCGGAGTTTGCCCTTTATGTCAATTCTCCCCTCTAGCTGTTACACGTGTGAGTGTTCTTATTGCCAGCTATGTTACCTTTTTAATCAGTCACGAATCACTTACTATTTAGTACAGACGCGAAGTGCGATGTGTAGGGAAAAGGCAGGATTGAAAGCCTTCTTTCCCCCCCCCCCCCCCCCCCATCATATCTTTCTCTCAGCCTCACCCCTAGCTGTAAGGGTTCAGGGTTTTGGCATGGTAGGTTATTTAACGAAGGGTGTGTTCGTTTCAGTTCTCTTGCCTACAAGTTGACAACAATTCCACCAAGGCTTGTTGCCAAGCGAATGCTTCCGAGATTGATGTCGAGATTTGTTCTGGCTGACCCTAGTGCAGAGAAAAATTTCCTCCCTCATCTCCTGACTCCTATCAAAGGTAAAGTGTTGTTTATTACCCAAAACGCACCCATCGTCGTTTACAGCGAGGTTTTTGGTGAAACGCAATGTTGCAAGTGGAAGTTAACCTAACTTTGCTCACGGAAAATCACAGATAAAATCTGCAAGAATTTACTAAATTGACAGCTGAGAGAAACTTTGTTAGAAAATACAAACTGAGTATTTTTATGTTTATTTTACGGTGACTTATAAGTCACCGTAAAATAAATTAATCCAACGGAATTCCAGCTGAATTATTCCAACTGTTCTATTCTGTTTTGTTGGAATAATTCAGTGGTTCATGAAAGAACTGAGGAAAACGTTTTATCTCATCAGATACAGGATAAATTTCACTATTTGTAATATCGTTGCTATATACCACAATTTGCCTTTCACACAGGTTGTCATTTATATTCCTTGTTCTTGTTCTCGCCGTATCACGGATCGAGTCTACAATCTGCGTCATTCCTTGTCATCTGTAGCTATGTTTTTTCCCTCCTTGCGGTTTATTTAGCATGTCTGAAGTGCCTCCCTCTTGTTTTATCCATCCTCAAATGTAAGATAATCCCGTGCTCATCGTACAGAAACCATCCCAGAAGTGATAATGCACAATGCAATGAAGGTTTACTTAAAACTTTGTGTAGCGCTTTTATGCGAGGGAGATCCTCGTTTGGCTAAGGCCTGTATTTTTGAAGAGTGCTCTTCCCGTCTATTTGCCCGTATCGGAGGATTTCCTTAACTCTTCCAATATCAGGAATTTTTTATTTGTGGTAGTCAATTTTAAATGCTGAATAATCCATTTACCTCCAGATGGTAATGATGCTGATTACCAGTCAAGCAACCTCTCTCCAGTTCTCCCAGACGAACTGTTCAGGTAATGGTTTCTTTTTTCTGTGGGGCTAGCACAGACCACCCAAACTATCAAAATGTAGCAGGTTTTAGCTTGTATTCAGTGTATCTCATTTCAACGACGGTTTTTCCAACGTAGGGAGGATTTCTTAATTTTCAGTATTCTTCTAGAAGTTAAGGATCTATAAAGCTTTTTATGCACTTTTCAGTTTCTTGAGTTTTCCAAAATCTTTTCAAAGGACATAGAGCAACATGAATAAGTAACATTTATATGTTTCTCATTTAATATTTGTCTTTCATATTTTCAAGCCATTTTGCTAATTTAACTTGAGAAGGTCGTTGGGGCCTTGAGGCTTCCTCAAAATCTTTGTTTTCCTAAAAATCTTTGTTGGCAGATTTTCTCGATTTCTCTTTAAAAAAATCCAAGCAGTCAGATTGTGTTTAAGTAAAAAGGTGAAATATACTCCTGGTGTGCAGTACTCACTGTGGCAAACAGAGACATTTTGCTAATAGAGTGCTTTTCGATTTAGTGCCGTAAAACCCAAACCGAGGTTACCCTAACGGCCGTTTCAATTAAAAAAAAAAAAAAAAAAAACGGAAAATAGATGAGAACCAAAGCAAATCAAGTAAGCCGCGGGAGACACGGGAAATCGCGAGTTATCAAATAGCGATCTGGCTTAGTCTTGAATTTGATTGACTGAGAGAAAGGTGCGAGTTAGCTGGGCCGATCAGAGAGCAAAGGTAAGCAAAACAAACTGAATCCAAGATTACTTTCTACACTTAATTAAAAATTGCTTTAACTTGTTATCTCCTTTTAGAGAACACTGTATTCCCATTTTAATGACTCTATGGTCCATCAGGGACGGACATGTCCGGATGATTCTTCTCAAATATTTTGGTCTCTATGCCACCTCTTTTGAGGAAGAAGTTCTGGAAAATTTCATTCTACCTCAGGTATGGTTTTACTGCAGTAGAGATTTATGGCTACTGAAAGACACTGTGCCGGAGTTTAGTATCAAATTCTGAACACAGTACACCAGATATCCTTGAGACGCCTCTCACTATTCCTTTCGCTTGCTTGAAATTTGTATAGCGATATAGCTGACAGCTGTTGGAGCTGCCTTAGTGAAGTTTTCCTACCTGGAAGATATGTTTTGCTTTCCTCAAAATGCCGACGCACGAAAAGCATTTACGTCAAAGCAGGAGTTCGGTTACAATCGAATTCAGGTTACCCAACCGCCAACGACCTTGCCAGTTCGCCCCCTAAAGTAGAACAGTTTCGCCCCCACCTTTACCATTATGCCCCCAAATCTTTCAGCTAGTTAAGGTGTAGGGGCGAACTTCCTTTGATACAGAAGGCGAGCTCGCAAAGGTGGTAGGGGCGAACTTGCAATGAGGCGAAACCTCCCGATAGATGATAGATGAATATAAGAACAGGAAAACGTAAAACTGGCAGCGGATCGCAAAGTTCTCGCGTTATCGCCTCTCGTGTTCTACGTTTTGCTGCTCAACGCTTTAAAGCGCGCACACGAGAAAAATTGTAGCTACACAGGCTACAGCTTGTTTGAACGAGAAGTCAAATTGCGCACCATTGTGCGAATACGACGACCTTAAGGCTCTGAATATTTGATTATAAAAGCAGGATTTACTCTTTTAACGGGCTTTTAGACTTAGAATGTGACGCGCCTCTCAAGTCGTTTGGAACACGTAAACTATAAGAATGAGGTTGGGGGGGTCGATAACTTACAGATGATTGGCAAGGTACTTCTCGTTACAATATCAATGTAGTAATCAGCAAAAAGGGGATGAAGCTGGACTAAATTATCTGCTAGAGGGTGTGGTCTAGAAGTAAAACTAAATTGTCCCAACTAATTTACAAGGATAAGTATAGCAACAGAAAGGGAGAAAATCGAAACAGTTTGGAGGAGTCATACGGGTTATGAGACCGTCGTAAGGTGGTGTTTCATTGTATACCAAAATGCTCTTTCTTTTCTCCCTGCCTTTTCTTCCTATAACAGAAAATCGCGTTTCTATCAAAACTGTAACATAGTGTTGCTTCTTTGTTGAACCACAATTTTGATTTTTTTAAAATTTTTTTCCCGCAGATGTTGATTGGTTTGCGAGAAACAGATGATAGAATAGTTGCGGCTACATTTTCTGCCCTATCGGTCATGGTACCCGTGTTAGGAGCGAATGTTGTTGTCGGTGGAGAGAGAAAAAAGCACTTCATCGAAGGGAGACCTAAGGTATAAACCAACTGAAATGAAAACGGGAAGTCCCTACGCTCGCTTGGGAACAGCAGCTGAAGTCCCTACGCTCGCTTGGGAACAGCAGCTGAAGTCCCTACGCTCGCTTGGGAACAGCAGCTGAAGTCCCTACGCTCGCTTGTGAACAGCAGCTGAAGTCCCTACGCTCGCTTGGGAACAGCAGCTGAAGTCCCTACGCTCGCTTGGGAACAGCAGCTGAAGTCCCTACGCTCGCTTGGGAACAGCAGCTGAAGTCCCTAGCAACAGCTGAAGTCCCTAACAGCAGCTGAAGTCCCTACGCTTTGGGAACAGCAGCTGAAGCAGCTGAAGTCCCTAGCAACAGCAGCTGAAGTCCCTACGCGCAGCTGAAGCTTGGGAAATAGCAGCTGAAGTCCCTAAGCTCCCTACGCTCGCTTGGGAACAGCAGCTGAAGTCCCTACGCTCGCTTGGGAACAGCAGCTGAAGTCCCTGCGCTCGCTTGGGAACAGCAGCTGAAGTCCCTGCGCTCGCTTGGGAACAGCAGCTGAAGTCCCTACGCTCGCTTGGGAACAGCAGCTGAAGTCCCTACGCTCGCTTGGGAATAGCAGCTGAAGTCCCTACGCTCGCTTGGGAATAGCAGCTGAAGTCCCTACGCTCGCTTGGGAACAGCAGCTGAAGTCCCTACGCTCGCTTGGGAACAGCAGCTGAAGTCCCTACGCTCGCTTGGGAACAGCAGCTGAAGTCCCTACGCTTGCTTGGGAACAGCAGCTGAAGTCCCTACGCTCGCTTGGGAACAGCAGCTGAAGTCCCTACGCTCGCTTGGGAACAGCAGCTGAAGTCCCTGCGCTCGCTTGGGAACAGCAGCTGAAGTCCCTACGCTTGCTTGGGAACAGCAGTGTCTTTTAGCAATCTGTATAATTGTTTGTAACAACCACGAAGTAAGAGAGAGGTGGAGAGAGGGGGAGGAGATTTACTATAGTTATTGTCAGTCTTTGACGTTTCGTGTTTTGTTTTTCTTTTCAGTTTAACAGTTCTGAGAGCATGCCTACCAGTAAGTTCCTGTAATCCAGGCATATTGTTTCCTGTCTAAATAACGTACGCCTATTTCAGCTTTAAGCTCTTTTTTCTTCGTTTTCTCATCATGATGTTTCAGTCATGATCATAACCATTTTTCGGTTTTTGTCCTTATGGACCAGTAATTATTTACTGCATGGGGGGTGGTCGGAAGGAGATCACATGGTTTTCAGGAGGGGAAGATGCGGGGGGGGGGGGTTCGGTGGATTTTGGGGAGATCACATGGTTTTCAGGGGGGAAGATAGGGGGGTCCGGAGGATTTTGGGGAGATCACATGGTTTTCAGGGAGAGAAGAAGGGGGGGGGGGGGGGAAAATCGGTCGTCACCAACGGAGTCTAAAGGGGGAATTTTGGAAAATCGACTGCCCCCCATCTTCCCCATCCCCCTAGACGAAAAAAACGACCAGTCCTCGAGCCTTCACTTGCTTTTCAGTATCTACAAATAATGTCATGAAGGAAAAGAAGATTAGCAACATTGGTCCCACAAATGTCAGTGGAGTCATCGACTTTGAGAACAAGTTGAGCCCAGAATCAGACGTAACTGTACAGACATCCACACGTAATACTAACGACCAAATTCGAAAACAGGAAAGAGAAAAACGGAGACAAGAAATGGAGAAGAGGAAAGAGGAGAGGAAAAAAGAGATGGAACGGCGCAGATTGGAACGAGAGAAACAAAGAATAGCTAAACAGTCGTCTCCTAAGAGATTTACAGATTTAGTTGTCCCACAAGGGGACCCTGATCAGGGAGAATTTGAACAATGGGAAGAACTTGATGAGTCCCCAAGCTCCCCGCGGTCAGACGTTACGGTAAGGGAACATGAATGGAAGGTACTTTCATTTTATACCGTTAGAAGAGCACCGACTTTGTATTTTTAGAGACAACTTCACTGATCAAAGCCATAAAAGAAAAAAACTAACATGTTTAAGACTGTCGAACATGTATTTAAAAAAGGCCGTTATTAGTAAGGCTTATCCCCAAATACTTTGTAACTGTGTCGTTTTTTGGAGGCTTAATCTTGTTTTCGCTCCTCCCGTAAGTGAACCTTTTCATTTTGCTTCGCATTTTCGAGCTATAAGAGAAATTTACCGGTTGTAATTCACACCATGTTTGCGCAAAAGCATTACACTGCGTGTTGACATTCCTACCCTAGCTGTATGCAGGAAGTTTATCACCGTCACAATTGACCTTACCTCCTATAGCTTAGTGGTGGAGCATCCAAATTACTAATTGGTAGGTCGGATGGTTGTAGGTATGGCTCTTGATGGCAACACCCCGAGTTCTTTTTCGAGTGTGCTTTGTCGTTTACCGAATAACATCATCTTTCATATTGTAGAATGTAGATGGAACTCATCAATCATTTTCTGAATTGGTTTAAGCAAGTTTTATATTCATATAAGAACAGTACCAGTAGTTGCACAGAGATGGTAATGAAGGATTTTCATCGACTATTAATTTTTGCCATTTTTTGTTTCTAGAGCAGTCGTTCAAGCCAAGCAACTGCTGAGCATGGTGTGAACTACTGGAGTGATGATCAGAGTGTTACCAGCGAACAGGACAAATTAGAAATGAACAACGTTGATGTTAATATCTCCCTGCAAGCGGGGAAATCAAACGAACCTTCCTCTCTCTCTCGCAATAAAGAGAGCTATCCATCGAAATCTAGTGCGCCGACGCACTCGAACGCATTAAAACTTGGTTCTAAAAAATCTTCAACTAAAACAGATAAGTCTTCGAAATCAAGACGGCGAAGTGAAGAGAGACTGGGTAGTGAATTTGAAATCACGCGAATAGAAGTTCGCTCAAGAGAGCCCGATTACTTCGCTGATATGGAGCCGTCAGTGACTTTTAAGGAGAAAAATTCAGATGTTCAACCCGGAAAATCCCAAGGCGCAGGACTAAGTTCTAAATTGGCGATGGTGGAAGATACGTCACAGGTATGGCTTAGAGATTGGGTGGCCTGTGCACGGGCTCGTATTTGAGAATGAGTGGATAACCTGTGAATACTTTAGTTCAGGGCCCAGTTCTTCAAAGGGCGGACAGCGCTCTTCGCCGTTTCTGTTTAGTTGCGGAATAGCGTTAGCCATCATTCGAACCTCCGGGGCTAGGTGTAAAGAGAAAGAAAACATCGACTTGATCTGCTTGTCAACAGGGTTTTTACTCGCAATTTTTTGCTTTGCTGTCAACGCGAACAAACTGGTGTACCATAGAAAAGTGATTTTCTTGGACTTAAGATAAGGGATAACTTGGTCTAGGAATTAACGAATATGCTTCTTTTAAATCCTTCGAAAACTAAGTCCAGAGTAATCGCGGTTTTTTTTGTTTCTCTCTCTAAGAACCTTAACGTTATGACTGCCGTACACCTGCCTTAGCGCCCTTCCTTAGCCTTTCATCTCGCGCTTTGGCAATCTTGTCATTAGAAGTCAAGTTACGTCTCCTGTGGTATGGTTAAAGTATCATAACAGTTGTTTGTTTCAGTGTTAAAATGAGACTCTCTTTTCTTTCTTTTTTTCAGGTGGAAAGTGGCTGGGGTGATGAATGGGATGGTTTTGATTAGCGAGGAGTTCTTTTAAAATTTATTTCAATCTCCCCTTGATCAGGTCGTAGGTTTTTTCAACAAACGATTGATCAATTTGACATTCTCCCAATTCTCTTAGGTGGAAGGTTGAAGAAAATGCATCAAAATTGTTTGTTTTCAAATAAAAACGCAGTACTGTGATCATTCAAAATCACAACGAAAGAGCTGTGGGTCCCATCTACACCGAGGCGATTTTGTTTCAAAGCACATCCTTTTTATGCGTTTTTGCCGAACATCCAAACAAAAAGGATCCAAAAAGGCTCATGAAAACGGGGCCTTTTGAAAACAGCTTAGAGAAAGGAGTGTTTTGAAAAGCATCGTTTTTGAAACAACTCCTTTTCTTGTGTTGATAAGTGAAAGTGTGGCCCTTGTTAATATCGACCGCAAGAAAAAAAAGGACTCGCAATCCTTAATTTTTCCGATATGTACACCTTTTACCATTTTATCAATGTGTCATTCTTCGCGGTGACTGTTAATTTAATTCCTTTTTCAAATCTATTTTCCTCTGCTATAGGTTTTATTGAATTTGCAAACAGAAATTTTATCGAATTATCGAGAAATAAAATGAATAAATAAAGACCATTGCATATTTTATAAAGTTATTTGGCGAAAGTGTTATAGTATTTTTAAAGGTAATACGTTCGAGTGAGATGAATAAATGAAATATTGTTTATCGACACACACGTATTATATTTTGTAATTTTACTTATTCATAGTAACATGACACCTTGATACCATTTCCATTTAGACAAAGCAAACACGGGAATGGTGTAGTCTCAGATTTCCTTGTGGAAGATAGTTGCTTGTTTACTCTTCCATATTGTTGACCGTCTTCACCCCTCATTCAAATTTGCATCATTCTGGAATTATAGCTGTTGCAAAGATATTTCTTATGATTCATAAGGAGAGGACTGAGAATTCGATTTTTCCAAGGCTAAAGTTTGTTCGTATCCCCTGCCTTGTGCAAATTTCTATCTCAATTCCAATTCTTAGAGGCAGAAACACCAGAAGTGTGATGAAAAACCCCTGCTTCAAGTGACTCAGACCTATTTTCTGAGTTGCGCCATAAGAAGCACCATTTAGGAAGTGTTCAATGGAGGCCACATTTTTCAAATATTTAAGTCTCCAGTCGCCATTGTACTCCTCCACGAACTCAGCTATTCCTCAAGGAGTTACGTTGGTACAATATAAAATAAATTAAAGTCACGATCATTGTTCCAGCTTCCGAGGAGCTAAATTGTTGCGTGGGTGGGTTTTTCACCGTTTGACTTTTTAGCTGGGGAAAGACAAAGGCTGCATTGTTAACTAAAAACAGGTTAAGTATTAGCGACGTTTGAAATATAAAGAACATATTAGGAGAGACCTTTTGCTATGGGAACAGGACACCTGTTACCACAAATTTTACCCTTGCCATTTATGTTTTGGCACCTTTATCTTTAGAAATTATTATTTCTTATAATATGCAAATTATCACATCCTGTGTTTATATTTAAAAGTAGATTTCATCTTTTACTTTAAACAACACAGTCACCTTAATTATCTGAGAAACAGCGAAAACCTACTATACTTTAGCATAATTTTTCGAGTAACTTTCCTTTTGAGTGAAAAGTGGTTGACTTATTTCGCCAAAATCAAGCCAAGGAAGGAAACATAGCAATGTTGAAAACCGTAAATGACGGCTATGGTTTCTCCAACTTCATCATATCGTACATTGGAGATTTCGACGCCGTTTTAATTTGCGACTGTGATAAAAAGATGTTCAATAGCCTGCTATAATAGCGACCCGCGTCGTTTTGTACCTGCTTAATGAACCATGGAGCTTTGTGCTCGCTCTTAGCTGATTGGCCCGTTCGCCAGAATGCGGCGTTTTGATTGGTGTACAGAAATCACGGGAAAGTGAAAGTCGTTCAACTGCCGCGGCGGTTTTTCGTTGCATATGTCAACAGAGACTCGGAACAAATTTCAAATTTTAACCTCTATCAGCGCCGTAGGAGCAACAAGGGAAACTTTACTGGAGTCGAAAACGCTCTTATTTCTTTATTACTGGTTAAAAATTGGTCAGTATCAGTACAGTGGAGGAAATGTCTCTAATTTAAATTTGATTTGCCACGGTGTGTCGAGTTAATGATACGCTAAAGACCAAAAGAACGCGATTCGCGTCCATTGCGATCTCGTCACCTCTGAAAGCGTTCAGCAATAAATTAAGTTTACAGTATGTAATTGTGGAGAGGAAATCTTGAAAGATGAGTCGGAGGTCGAGTGTGAGCAGTAGTGTCAGCACCAGTGCTAGATCTGGCGTTGAAGATGATCCTTTGATGCGAGATTGCTATGATTTGAGACGAAGATTGCTCCAGACCGAACAGTCACTGCAAAGTTTGAATCCACCACATGCGACAAACGGGTAAGAATTTTCATTTATTTACTTCGCACTCACCCCTATAAGGAATAGATAAAATGAAGTTACAGTAGCAGCTCAGTAAGCTCCTTTTGTTCATCCATACGATCATTTCCAAACAGTTAATTCTCATTTTGCGATTGGACGTCCTGCAGTGAATCACAATCGTGAGTTTATCACTTATGGGCCTTCGTTCGCGATCATTAGGAGTCATTTGTACTAGAATTTGATGGAAGGGAAATTTTTTAGTCTTACTGTGTCTCTAAAATTTATGTATTACTATGTAGCTCTTTTAAAAGGAAATAACATTCGATGCCATTCCTAATTGTTGATTCGTGCGAGAGTGGTAGTCGCTTATTTACAAGAGCTTTAGAAGTTTCTACTCCTAATCATACCGTGTAAACAATCACGTTACACGCGTTTTGATTTTATTTTGATCAAGGATCTTGGATTCTGACTAAATTAAAGTAATGGCGGTATTTTATATTAGTTGCTGTGTTTGACAGACAAAACAAAAAGAGGACTGAATAGAAAATTCGTGTCGTAGTGAAATACTAACACGAGACAATGCACATGTTGTCCGCGTTCCGAAGTTGGTGTGTCGTAACCAAGGGTACGAAGTATTGACAAAGCTCGAAAGTGTACTATGTTTTCCTTTGATTACTTAGAATTTGATTTTTTCGACAAGGTGTTGCAATTTTCCAATCTTACGGAGGAAATTTCCGTAGATTTATCTTAAAGACTTCGGATTGCCTCTGAAGATAAGCTGTGCAAAACAGTCGGGGTGATAATTGTTTAATCAACAAATTTTGATGTTCGCTGTTATCATAGTAAAGTATTTGCCTTCTTCACGAAGTCATCGCTGATCACACAGACATGAACGTTTCATGGTCCTTCAAAAGGATCAATGCATTTCACAGCTCTGACTAATGTTTTGAATATGTCCGCTTTTGAAATATTTCTCCAGAGGTTAAATGGTCTTGTTAAGGTGCACCCAAACATGTAATTGTTATTTAATTTAGACACGTCTGCCTTGATCAAAATCGTATAATTTTTTCTTGGAAAGATTAGGTTAAAGGGTTAATTTTTGTGATCCACTGCACTCTTTCAAAGCGATTAACATACTAACAGGGAATTTTATGTTGTCAAGAGTAGCACTGGATCTTGTTGACAACTGAATTTTGAAGGCTAATTTTTACTGTCTTATCTAAATAAATGGAAGTGTTTGTCAAGAAGTGACATTGATTTCTTTATGATAATAGCTCAGGAATCTATTTACTATCAGTGAGTATTTTCTGCCCAGGTTAGATAATGATGTGAGTTTATTCATGTTTGAGCTCATTTCTAGGTAAGAGAAAGACATGAATTTGGAATATACCACAAGTAGATTTCAGTATGTGTACCATTCAAAGGAGAAGTTTGTCAGTTTTGAATACAGCTATTGTAGTTATAAGGCCCAGTTGTGACACTGCAATTTGCATACTAAACCCTATTTCTTCAGTGAGGTATAGTTAATACAAACTTGCCATGATCTAAACCTTGGTTGGTATCTCACATGATTTACTCTGTTTAACAACTGCATCGCTTTAAGTGAAGGTTGGGTGCCTAATACATCCAGGAGCATCCTCTATTGGCAGCCAACTCCTAGATGGAGATTTCTCCCATGGTTGGCAGATTCTGGCAACCCAGCCATGAGCCCCCATACAGGAAAGGGAAACAGGCACCCATCGCACTAAATAAACAGTGGAAAGAGGGAGGGAAGGGGTGGGGAAAACTGCCTGGACAATGAGCTGCCACAATGCTGCAAGTTCACACTCAAAGCACAGGCAAGAACATCTCAAAGAAAGTACATGTAGAATTCCAACACATACATGTGCATGTGCAAAAAAACACTGACTCATAGAGAATGCAGATGCTCTTTATTGTCAACTCTGTTAAATTGCATTTAACTGCATTAAAATGTTAGCTATTGTCTTTCTTATAATAAGTTGAATGATACTGACATCATGATAGATAGAGCAACATGGAATCTATTTATGTTTAACTATTCTCCATTATAACAAGAACAAGGTCAACTTCAGCCCAACTCCCTATAAAAGGCCTGGCAACTTAGCACTCAACTGTATGAGGGGATTGTTTATGGAAAAACTGCTTAGTCAATCAATTTTTTTGCCTTTTGCAGCAAATCACGACAACCTCCTCAGAAGCAAATTTCTTATGAAACAAGAGCTGAAACAAAAGATCGAAACTTTCGTGCCAATGCTGAAGAGCTTGGGTAAGTGGCCTCGTTAGCCTTTTAACTTCTAAGAGTGACTGCTATCTAATTTCTCCTACAATATCACTCCTGTATACACATTAAGGTCATGAGACTAAAGGATAACTAACTGGAGAAGCTCTTGATTGTTAATCAAATCCTTACTGTCAGCACCTTCATTAGGAAATATATAGAGAAAAGTATGGAGACTGTGCTTACAGATGTTAAACTGTAGAGGGTTTAAAGGCAGTTAATAAGCATTTAGGAATCAAACTGTTGCACAACTCTGGCAAATCTACTAGCATGTTGATGAATAAATTTCTTGTCTAGTAAGGCAGTTAGATTATGAAGGACCAATGATGTTCTAATATTTAATACACGTATATCACAGAACCTATGTCAAAAGTAGTTACAGTGATTGCTAGGATTAAGAATTACCTTTGAATATAACAAAACCTTGACATAACAATTTACAAGGATGGACAATCACCCATTTGGTAAAAAATAAATGTAAAGATAAAAAGTGCTATAATGATGATGAAGATTAAAACAGAAAGCTATATGTGAGCTTAAAAATTTTCTGAAGACTAAATTCTTTAAGTTGAGATTGCCTATTACATAGAAAGTGACCAAAAGTATAACATAGACAGATTATTTGTAACTGCAAATCTTGGCTCTTGTGTAGAGAAAGTGTCCATTTTTTTCAGTCTAAATGGTCAGAGAAGAAGCTTTTCATCCTCACCAGAGAGTGCTGTGGGTCAAGTGTTGACCTTAGCTGACCTTACCCCAGCTGGCTCTGAGCCAAATCTTTTGTCCAAGGGCCGCAGAGGGACTCCATTGATAACTAACTCCCAGCCCTTGAGGTCATCATACACAGACCTCAGAAATGTATCAACTCACTTGTCACCAAGAGACCAAGAGGTATACCAAGTGTATTATTCAGTTAAATTTTTACAAAATGTTGTGGGTTTTTTTAACACTTTCACAATAA